AGTAGGAGTGGAATAGCAAGGAGAGGAAAGTACCATAGCTGACATTTACTGGGTGTGGGGCACTGGTGACAATGCCTCTGAAGCTTTGAGACCTCCTGGCCTCATTTAATTGCTTTGCCCCTCATGGGCTGTGCGTCAGATTGTTGTGAGAATTTCAGGAGACCCTGCAGGCAGCAAGTTCAGAGCAAAGCCTGGTACGGAGCAAGTGTGCAGGAGCTTCGGGCCAGGGCTTTGCCACTGAGGCTTCATGCTTCAGAGATGAAGTCAAGGTTCTGAGAAGGTGCCAGCCCTGCAGGCGTCCGAGTCGTGGCAGCCTGTGTGGGCTGTTCAGGAATCTGTAGGTCTTGTACGGCAGCCCTGTACTCCCTTGATCCTGTGGTGCCACAGGCTTTGCGGTGAGGGACTCCAGAGCCAGAGGCGATGCCGCAGTCCCACGGAAACAGCGAGTTGAAGAAGTGGCTGTGTATCTGGAGGTCGTGGAGCAGTTGCGTAGGGAGCACCAAGCACCTCGGGTAAAGGTGTGGGGAGGGAGTCATGCTGCTTCCTGCTGGGGAGGGGTAAGTTGAGAAGCGTGAAATGTGAACTTTTGTTCTTGAATGAAGCAGCCCTGTGAGGTGAGGGATGAGTCACTTGTGTCCTCATTCTATGAATGTGGATGCTGCTGTGGAGTGGCTGAGTGACCTTCCCCAGAGATAGCAGGGGTGGGTGGGTTCCAGGCCTGGCTTGCCCCTGCCCCTCCCTGGTACAGGTGCAGGGGCCAGGTCATTCTGTTGGCTGGGCTCACCCTGCTTAATAGCTGGGCATGATGGGGTTAATTATTTTGGGAGGCAAAGGTCACTCCTGGGCCACTGGAGTGTGCAAGCTGTTCTCCCCTCTCCTCCCAGCACCCCTCTCCCACAAGCCTTGCTGCTTTGTGACTGAGGAAACGCTGGCTTCTTGTTCTCCCCAAATTCTGAGCCCTGCTTGCTACTCAGAGCTGTGTCTAGCAGTGGCCTCGCAGTGTGGCGTGACCTGGAGACACAGTGCCCATGGGCCTCCTCTGGCCTCAGCGGGCGGCCCTTTCATCAGTGTCCTCAGTCTGTGCTGAGAGGGATGAATTGGATCCCTGCTCCAGAAGAGAACAAGAAGTCCCTGGAAATGGTCTCTTTCCTGGGGGCAGAGTGTAGTCAGAAAAACAGAACGACAAACTGGAGCTGCTTGCTTGTGCCCAGGCCCATCCGGAGACTGTAGTATCCCCCCTGCTGGAGCCTCCTTCCCTTAGGGTCCCCTCCTCTGCAGCAGCCCCTCTCCTATGGGGTCTGTCATGGTTTGGGGTTGTTGCAAGGGGAACAATATAGTACAGGACACATTTTATAATAGTATTTTATAATGAGTTACCCAAGAATCGTATGTAAGAAGTGCAGGAAATCTGTTCACACACAACACTAAAACCTCCAGCTGAGGGCCTGGATCTGACTTCACGGATCCGTGCTGGGAAGGCCCAAAGTGGTGGAAGCTAGGAAGTCTATGCCAGCTGGATGAAGGACCTGTGCCAGCAGGCTGAGGGATCTGAACTGGAGCCGGGATGCAACCCTCAAGGTAAGCACCAGAGCTTCCCCAAAGTACAGAGCCATCCTCAGCAACGGTGAGGTCCTGAGCCCCTCCGGCGATGAGGGAAGCTGAGTTCCCATCAGGAAAGCCAATGAGACAAGCTTCTCCAGGAGACTGAGCTGTGCACCATCTTCTCTGGAGCCAGGAAGCGATGCTCAAGATGACCAGAATTCCTTCAAAGTTCATCAGCAAAATCAGCATGACAAGATCTTCCAGCAGAACAGCCCAAGAGAACTAGCAGCTTCCAACAGCTTCTCCAGTCAGCAATTCCTAACAGTGTTTTTGGCAGCTTCCGTTCTGCCTTTATGCTGCTGGCAGCAACCCTCAAGTGGGCCTCCTGGACCCAGCACCATGCTAGTTTAATTCAGCAGTGTGTAATAAGTTGACCACCAGTTAGAAATCCACTACGAGGTACTCCCTGCAGCCACGCTGTCTCTCCCATGATGCCCTGTCTGCCCATTGAGGCCTGGCCACCGCCTTCCCAGCCAGTGAGGTGATTTGAGGCTCCCGTGAGGTGTTTGCAGCAGAATAGAGTCTTTCAGAGTGAGGTGTTCCAGCCAGCCACTTGGGAAAAGGAGGTACCTGAAGAGCCTCTAGAGCCACAGTGGCCCTGATTGTGGCCTGCAAAGATGGTGCAGGAGAGGCAGCAGCCAGAGCACCTGAGCTTGGTGCTGTTCTCCTACAAAAGCTTTACTGGCATAAAAAAGCTTGGAAAATACACAGAGCAAAGTGGCTAGCTTCCAGATCTCAACTGTTTACCTTCAGCGGTGCAGCCAGGAACGCAGAGGGCTTATTTTCCAAACAGCCTACTGTTGTTAGGCCCGCATGCTTTAGGCTGGTACAGAGGTATCTCCCTGTCCACCTCCTTCGCAAATCCTCAGGGGACCCCCGACCCCTCCCTTGCTGGTTTCTTATTTTCTCTGTTTTTGAGTCTCACTATATATTTCAGATTGGACTTGAACTCACTGTGTAGCTCTGGCTGGCCTCAAACTCATGGTGATCTTCCTGCCTTAGCTTCCTGAGTGCTGGGATTGTAGGTGTGTGCTTCCATGCCTCCCAGGCTGATTTCCGTCTCCAGTGCTGCAGGGAGACCTGGGGAGTTGTCTTTGGAGACATGGGTGACAGGTGTGGTTGTGCCAGCTGTGTGATTTGTGTCCTGTGTTACTGTGTTTGTAACTGTTTTGGTCCGAAAATATTGGCCTCCTGGTGTGGTGCCTGTCATAATGGCGCACAGCAGGAAGGGTTGGCATCTGTAGCACCTTACCAGTCCCTCTTCTGTCTCTTTCCACTGACTTCTCTACCTTCCTTCCGACTCTGCTTTTTGGGGCAAGAGGGGTTGGATCCGAATGTCCTGTAAGGTAGTAGGCAAATTGAACTGGAAAGGCCCTTGGAGTTTGCCCTTTTTACTCCAGGGGACCCTGAAGCCATAGACATGGCAGACCCAGGTCAGCTGGCAACTTGGTAGGAGCTGGCACAGGAACTCTGCTGCCTGGTGTCCGTCTGCTTCCTGTTGCTTGGTTTGGTTGTCACTTTTTTATCCCAGGTTCTCTGTGTCCCGGGCTGAGAAGGGAGAAGTTTGTCCTCAGTGCCTGTGCTAGGTAGGTCTCAGGAAGACATCTGGGCCATGCCACCTCTGTCCTCCTCCAGGGCCTCAGCCGTCTGGGTCTTGCTGTTCTCTTGTATTGTGCACAGCCTCGTCACCATGGGGAGAGAAGTGTATTCTTCAGTCTCCTTGTGAGGTCTCAGGTTTACTTTTTCCCCTTAAATAGGGGAGATCCCTTAACATTTTCCCTGGCAAACAACAAAAAAGAGGAGATAAGATCAGCAGGAAAGAACTTGTATGTTCTGAAAACGTAAAATCCACTACTGTACATGCCTGGGTATGGGCAGGCATGAGGAGCCCATAAGGAGCAGAGTGCCCCAGGGTGAACAAGTGTGGTGAGCTGTCACTACCCCAAGGCCTGGGGGACCAGAGGACCAAAGTGTAGCTCGAGCCCTGGAGATAGCTGTTTTGGGAGAGGGGTTGTGGCTGCCGTTGGAAACACAACAGGTGGCCAGGCAGGGGATCATGAGAAACTTGAAGATGGTAGAGTAAACACCCAGCAGCTCCCTCCTGCCCATCTCTGCTGGTGCCTCTGGTTGTCCTGACTATCAGTGGCAAGGCCTCCCAGGGCACTGAGGGGGCACTAAGCCAGAGAAGACCTGGGGTGGTGGACAGACTGAGCGCCAAGCACAGTACTAGGTCCCGATTTGCACCCTAGTCCCTCTGCTTCTTCTTGCTGAGGTCCCAGGGAGGTAGGTGTTAAGCATCTGTTCTCCACTCCTCATTGTAAAATTGTCTCTCACAGTGGTTGGAAATAAAACAGCACAAGCACATGTAAACTCTGAGCACCATTCCTGCTTGGAGTGATCCTTTGTAGCTAGCATTTGATGACAGTGGAGAGAAAGCATTGAATCCTAGAGGAGGTGCACTGGGCAGGGATGAGGCAGGGTGGGGCTCATGGCCTTTTCTGGCCTCGGCTGAGGCCTTGTGGGGTCAGCCAGGTGCCGGGCTGGCGCCACAGCTACCATGGGATAGGCCTTGCAGGTGGTAGTGGCCGTGCGCTGGCGGCAGGCATCTGGCCGCTCAGGAAGCCTGGTGTCAGGCTGCGCTGGCTGTTGGCAGGTGTTCCTGGCTTGGGATCAGGGGATGCCGACTGTCAGCCAGCAGCTCTGGCTCCCTTGGGGGCTCCCCAGCCTGGGTTCTTGAAAAGATAGGCTCACTGCCCCGTGGAGCTGCGTGAGATGTGCGGCCCTGATTGCGGGCTGCCTTCTTTTGCACTGCAGTTCACGAGAAGTCCACGTCTCAGCCCAGTGCAGGTCTGGCTGGGCTTCTGAGGCAACAGCTCCTAGAGTTGCCAGGACCACAGCTTTGCTGAGACTGTGCTTTTTAAGAGCATTCACTCAGATACAAGGTCAGGCTAGGCTCCCTGACTTCATTCATTTTGCTTAACCTTTGAGCCCACCTCCCCTATGAAAAGCAGTTTATGCTTTATTTATTTATTTTTTAACATAACTTTTTTAGCATTGCCTGCTTATGTGTTTTCTGCCCCTGGGTGGCACAGGGTATGGGGAATGGGCATGGGGACCAGAAGTGACAATGAGGACCCTGCCGTCAAGGAGTTAGGGAGAGAGACGAGCTGTCAGTCCCACGGGCATTTTGCACAAGGTGGATGAACAGATTCTGCTTGCACTTGGAGCAGGAGCACCCCAAGGGGCCTTGACCTGCCCTGCCCTGGTGGCGAGCCTGGCGAGTGGTCCTCTCACCACGTGCCACAGGGGCGTGGTGGTCCATGGGGCTCAGGGTCTTGTGTAGAAGGGGCAGCGATGCAGGTGCTAACCTTGCTGCCTTCATCTTGTTCCCCACGCAGCTGAATCTCAGCCGGCCGATTGAGGAGCAGGGCCCCCTAGACGTCATCATCCACAAGCTGACAGATGTCATCCTCGAAGCTGACCAGAATGACAGCCAGTCCCTGGAGCTGGTGCACAGGTTCCAGGTGAGTGAGGGCAGCTGCTGGCTACGGGACCCGCAGCAGGCAGAGGAGAGACCTGGGAACTGCCATAAGCTACCGATGGAGCTGTAGCTGCCATCTCAATGTGCAGCCCACAGAAGTGGTTCTGCCCCTGGAAAGGCGTGCTTCCTGGCGAGCACTTCTCTGCAAGTGAGGCCTCAGTCTCATAGGACAGACACCCAGGGCCAGTGCCACCCTCTACCCAGCTTATGTGGATGTGGTCAGATCACTGTGAATCCAGATGTGACCGCTAACTCCTCAGCACAGGGATGCTCAGCCCTGGCCCCTGGCTCTGAGTTGGCATAGGGATGAGACCGTTTTTGCTGTGCTCGAGCAGGAAGACCCCGAGGACCTTGAACTAAGTCGGGCCTTGCTGGTGAGCCCGCCCGGAGCCTGTTGCCTTGGCCGCGTGGGCTCCTTGTTGAGTAGCGCTGGAGATGTGGTACTGAGTCCTCTCACCCATTTCCTCAGCAGCCTCCTGGTTCTGACCCCAGAGCAACTCACTGGCCACCTTGGGGTCTTCATGTCGGGCAGTTGCTACTGCTGCTGCTGGCCTGGGCTGTGTGTTTGCTGCTGTGGTCAGATGTGATTCTTCAGCTCAGGGTCACGAAAGACAAAGTCATATTATCAGCAAAAATGCAGCCGGAATAGTGGCTGTTCCCCAGGCCTTCCTCGGCCTGAGCTAGCACTTCTGTGTGATAACTCTAGCTTGGCATCTACTTCTGTCCATCAGGACAAAGGGGCTCTTGTCGCACAGAGCTGTGCTGCTCACGATGCTCTTCTTTCCCACGCAGTCCGAGCCACAGGCCTCAGCCGCCTCACTTTCCAAGCCCTTGCCTGCTTCCTGGGCCAGCTGCCTGCCACAAAACCCTGCTTGCCACCCAGGAGTGGGCCTCGACCTGCTGCAACTGCTCCGGGCCTCTGGGCCTGGTGGTACGGGGCTGAGGGGGGTGGGGAGGTGCTCTCACATCGTGTGGCCCTGCCAGCAGCCCAGTGTCCCTCCTGCTTGCTGGGCTGTCTCTTCCCATGGGGCTGGGGCCATGGAAAAGGCATGGGCATGGTTCTCTGTGCCTTCATGGCGCCTCAGCTTTCTTATCTGTAAACTGGGTGCTGGTCGCAGGAAGATCTCTGGCCTGTTGGACAGAGCAGATGTGGAATGTTGCTACCATGCCCAGCCCCAGCATGTGCTCCCTGGAGATCCACACTGTACTTGCCGAGTGGGTTCAAACATGAGCAAACAGGAAACACTTGCCTGGTTGACTGACTGCATCCAGGGTCCCTGCCTGGTCCATGGAGCGTGAGCCTGAAAGCACTCGCTCACCCTGGGCCCGTTTGATCTCCACAACCTCTTGGGGCAGGACTTACCTGCCTTGTTTTATAACTAGGAAACTGAGAGTCAGGAGTATGTGCAGGGTCTCCATGGGAACCCAGCAGAGCCACGGTGCAGTCTGGGCTTTCTCAGGGGACTCCCTGCTCTGTGCACAGGGTGGCTCCTCTGCCTTCTTGGGCCCCTGCCCTGTTACTGTGATGGGTGCAGCCCCAGGTGGTGACCACTACTGCAGTGCCCTTCCTCAGCCTGGGGCTGTCCACCTCTGCTCCACCTTGCCTTCTCTAGGAGGCCTCCACATGTCTGGTGCATCCCGTGATGCTCTCTGGGGAGCTACAGAGACCTTTGGGGCAGGGATACCTGCGGGATGAACGGCATGATGGTGGCCTTGTGAGGACCCTGCTGAGCTATTTGGGCAGGCGGGCAGTGCTTAATGATAGCAATCGTTATTATAGCCGGAAACATTTGCAGAGCAGTCATGATGTGCCAAGCCCTGTTGTAAAGTACTTTATAAATATTAACTCATATGCTTATTGAGCAATAAGATTTTCTGGCGCCCCCATATGGATGAGGAAACAGGTGCAGGAAGGTCGGGCGTCTTGCTCAGGTCTCCATAATTAGGAGGCAGTGAGATGGGATTTGAACCTGTGCTGGGTGAACCTTGCTATCCCCATCTGGCCTCCCCAGAGAGGGAGATCTGACCAACAGGCCTCACAGCCGATACCCACCCTGCATGACAGTTTTGTTGTCATTAAAATGAGATGCCCATGGTAGTCAGGGCCACATATATGCAGTGCCTCAGGTGTGCTGAGAACTCACCCCTTCCTGCTGTTGGGCTTCCAGTGTGGCTTCCACAGCTCCCTCTGTTAGAACTGTACCATCCTTCTCTGAAGGTGTCACCCTCAGCTGGTCCTGGTGCTCTAGGAGTTATGGGACAGCCATTCCTGGGTGGTGGCCTTGGATATGTTCAGAACCACAGGTGGGTCTGCTGTTCTGGGCAGAAGAGCATATCAGAGGGGACCCAGGGGATGTGGAGCTTACGACTACCTGCCACTGGGTATGTTTCCCAGGGAGGGTCTTGGCTGGGTCCCTGAGTCTGTCCCATCCAGGTCACACACCCCTTTGACCCTAGGCAAGGTGGTGACCTCAAGATAATCTTCTAACTCCCACACTTCTGGGATAAATTTTCATTGCAGTTGGTATTTCAGTAAGAAGCCAGCTATCTGATAAGGCCAGGAAGCTTCCTCCTTTGTGAACAGAACAATCCTTTAGGGAAAAGTGTGTGGGCTGTGCATTCCAGAGGCTCCAGGGTGAGAGCAGACAAGCAAGGGCTGGTGTGGAAGGAGGGCACTTAAATGGTGAGGGCATGGAAAAGCTTCCCTCTGCCCCCAGTCGTGGTGCCGTGCATGCTGACCTGGTCATCTCCCTCTGCATAGGTAGCAGAGGTGCAGGCTCAGAGCTGGGCCACGTGGGCCTTGACTTTTACCTCTGACATTTGACCTTGACCATGCCCTTTGTCTTTAGATCGTTTTACTTTTTATCTTTGGGCTATTAATAAGGAGGCATTATTGTGGTTTGGGGACTGGCAGGCACAGGGAAGCCAGTCAGTGGCCTATCAGTTGCAGAGGTGGGAGCCTAGGGCTTGCAAAGCAGCCCTTCTGCATTTTGTTGTGAGCAGTAGAACAGTTGGGGTGGTCTGCCACTGCCTGAAAGGTCCTCTTGAGGCTGTGTTGCTGTCCTGGGGAAGTATTTGGAGGCAGATGATGTGCATGGAAAGAGTTAGGTTTTTGAGCCACTCCTGGTAGCCTCAGAACCTTCCACAATGGGATGTTTCCATAGACCTCTGACCCCCAGGGGCAGAAGGGACCCTGAGCTGAGTGGCCATGCTTCCCTCCAGCTGCCTGCTTAGACAGATGGGATCGGGTGGGCCTGGGCATATCGTAGGTCATTCAGGCTGGTTGCCATAGAAGCCACCCCCCATACTGTTGCTGTTTTGATTTGCTTTTTTCCTTTTTGATCAGCCTCAGAGCGGCTTGACTTGGACAGTCGTTGGGATGATTCAGTTGTTTTTCTGCTCGTGTTCTTGTGGAGCCAGCAGCCCGGTGCCACCCAGCTCTGCCTGAGATTTGGTTATCAATGCACAGATGTGACAGAGGTCCCTCGAGGACCCTGCCCATGGGGTGCATGGGGCTGGGCAGAACCCCAGGGGCCTCCGGGCTCCCCAAGCAACTTCTTCAGGGGAACAATGGGCACCTTCTCCTTGCTGTCACTCCTTATGCCTTGGGGGCGTGGCCCCCTGTGCTGCTGCTCTTTAGACCCTAGACCTGGGGTCATAGTGATGTTATATGGTCTTCATCTGGAGGGATTTTTTCTGAATGGAATCTGCACAGCTTCTTCTTGCATTCTGATCAGCTGAAAGGACTTTAATGCACCCCGTATTCCTGGCGCACCCCTCTGAACACTTTCTCCAAGGACAGTGTCCTCCACAGTGCCGAGCACCATCCACATGTTCTCCCTTGGGAGGGCAGACCAGGGCACTGGGAAGGGCCGAGTTAGGGAGACCCAGCCCTTGTCACAGTCTGGATTGCTGCACACTTCTCCCTGTTGTGGAATTATACCTGATCATTAACGTGGCCCGTGGGTCCTAGTGACCTGGTGGCTACCTCTCTCCTCAGCCTCATTCTGCCCCGCCTGTCCTTTCCTCCACATTCTGACCCTCCCTCCCACAGCAGCAGTTTAGGCCTGCTGTTGCTCACTCCAGTGCCTTTGCGTAACAGTGCCTTTAGCCCCCTGTGGGGAGGGCCTCCCAAGGAGCATTTTCCATGGTCATGAGACACAGCTCCTGGCCTCTGCTCTCCTGACATTGCTTCTCTTTCTCACATATTTAGAGGGTGCTGTCTGCCCCTCCGCATGCAGGGGTGGGGTGCATCTGTTCTTGGTGTCCCCACCATCGCCCAGACTCCTGTGTGCTCATCGTAGGTGCATACAGAGTGCTGCCTTGTGCTGGGTGAGCCTTGTGTAGTGTACCCAATGGGCCAGGGGCAAGGTGCCAGCCTTGCTGGGCAGCTGGGAGAGGGAACAGGCTGTGAGGATCTATGAGGCAGAAGGCACAGGCTTGCAGGCATGTGCGGGCTATTTGCAGGAACCAGTAGGGATGGAAGGAGGTGTGGCAGGCCAGATCCCGGCATGATTTCATACCAGGCCATGGAGCTTGAACTTTCTCCTGCAGAGGGATCAGGGGGTCAGGATGGTAGCAATAAGAGTAGGTCTGGTTGGCAGAGTGGCCCTGTGGGAGGGGACGGGTGTTGCCAGTGTTAGATGAACTCTGAGCAGGCGGGGACACCTTAGTCATCTAGCTGGGTGTTTCCCAGATGACGAGGGAGCTCGTGACTTGAGGGCCTGGTCGTACCCCAATTGTCCTCGGCCCTAGGTGCCCTGTCGTCTTGCATCCCCTGCCCTGGCTGGGACAGGGCAAAGCCCCACTGCTCTCCCTCTCTTGGCGTTCACTTGTATAAAACAAGTCTGGGAAGGGAGCACTTTTCTTGTCCCCAAGGAGGCAGAGAGGGCACACTGGACAGCACTGGCTCTTTATTAGTGACTCCATTTAGTTACCTTCCAGTGGCTGCCAGCCAGGGGCAGGAGCAGGTCCTCAGGGCAC